GAAAATGTCCTAAGTGTAGCAAAAAAAAAAAAAAAAAAAAAAAAAAAGGCTTTGCAAGGGATACGGAAAAAAATAGATTTACTATGTTGAAAGGATGTGGCTCTTAATACAGGAAAGTCAAGGGGCGCCTGGGTGGTGCAGTCGGTTAAGCGTCTGACTTCAGCCAGGTCACGATCTCGCGGTCCGTGACTTCGAGCCCTGCGTCGGGCTCTGGGCTGATGGCTCAGAGCCTGGAGCCTGTTTCCGATTCTGTGTCTCCCTCTCTCTCTGCCCCTCCCCTGTTCATGCTCTGTCTCTCTCTGTCCCAAAAATAAATAAACGTTGAAAAAAAAATTAAAAAAAAAATACAGGAAAGTCAATTTTTACACCAAAAATAATTCAACAAGTATCATTTACTTTACAAAAGGCTTCACAAAAGAACTCCTATAAGAAGCACTATGGTTTCCTTCCTTCCTTCCTTCCTTCCTTCCTTCCTTCCTTCCTTCCTTCCTCCTGCCTGCCTTCATCAGACATCTACTGAGTGCTTACTGTGTTCTAGACTCTGTGCTAGGGAAGCCATGGTGAGCTAGATAAACATTGTTCCTCCCCTTGTGGTCTCTCTGGCCAGCTGGAGGGACAGCACCTAATCAGATCACTACACAATCAAGAAGCCACTGATAGCAGAAGCCAGAGTCCCATGGTGCTATGGGAATAACAGCCTCTTCTATTCTGAGGGCCAGAGAAAGCTTTCCCAAAAGAAGTGATGTTCCAGGTAGCAAGAGCATCCGCGCAAAGGCCCTACTATAACAGCAAGCCTGGTCCTTCGAGGAAAGGGAGGCCATGAGGCCACAGAGGTCAACCGGAGCCAGGGGGCACAGGAGGTCTTGGAGGCTGCTGTAAGGAGGAGGTTTAGATTCTAATTTCATGGTACATGGAAATATTGCTCCCTGGGGAGCAGGGAGAGTCATGAGGATTGTAAGCAGGAAGTAAAATAATCAGTTAGGCGCTTTTTAAATTTTCTTTTCCTTTTTTTCTGACAGTCACAAGCTGTGAGGAGAATGGACTGATGGGGGTGGGGAACCCACAGTAGAGGCAGAAAGACCAGTCAGGAGGCCACTGAGCTTGCCAGGGCAAGAAATGCTGGTGGCCATGGGGACAAGCCAAGTGGAATGGGCCAACTCATCCAAGTGTCCATTGGAAAGGGTACTGTGACCCAGACAAAGTGAATCCAGAGAACAAGAGCCGTGGCTGACCACATCCCACCCAGGCTAGTTTCACAATTAAAATTTAATTTCATTAGTTGATAAAATGGGTAGCATCATTTCCTGGTGGAAAGACAAGGTCGAGATTATATGTATCAATGTCCACTACCAACTTGTGTGCTTTAGGAGTCTGAGCACATTTTCAGCCCTCATCATCCTCATGTAGTAGTTATTGTTACCCTCATTTCACAAAGGAGCAAATTGAGAGCCATAGAGGTTGAGAAATTTGCTCAACTGGTGACTGGCAGAGCTGGGATTGAAAGCTGGCAACTAGTGATCTGCCCTGGGACAAGTGGCAAGTGTCAGGGAGCCCATGCATACAACGGGTCTAATTAAGGCTGGGGTGCTGGTTCAGCATAGGGTGAGGTGAACTGCTTTTTCCCCACTCCAGAGGTCTCTTCTGGCAACGGTTCTAGGAGTCATGTAAACCAGTTTGGAATCCCCACACACATGTGTGCAAGCCCTTAAAATCACAGTGGGGCCTCTTCTCCCCCTGGCCTGGGCTCTTCCACCCTGGGCAGACCTGCCTTGCGGGTCAGGGGCACCCGCTCTGGGCAGGAACAAGTCCTGCCTGAGGGGGTGACTTCTGTCCCAGAAAAATGTGCCTCACGTTTCATAGAAGTTGGCCAAAGGGGGCAAGAGGAGCTGGAACAACACTCCAAGTAAAGGGAACCCTGTGGGAAAAGCCTGGGGGTGGCAGCAAATGCTGTGGGTTCCTGGAGCTGCATAATCCTCAGAGAGGGCAGGGATGAGGAGGTGGATACGAGCCTGCCAACCAGGTCCTTGGAAGCCATGCTTTGGTGTTTAAGTTCATCCCAAAGGCAAAAGGGAGCCCTGGAAGTGTCTTACACAGGCAACTGATAAGATGGTGTTTTCATGTTGAGAAAATTTCTCTGCCATGTGCTGGCCCTGGGAGCAGGCAACATGTTGCCTTCTTTACTAGGTGATGCCCTAGGCAGTGTCAGGTTCTGGACTGGGGACCACACTATGTTGACAGACTCAGGAAGAACATGATCAAACTACCTGTGCTTTTAAAAAGCAGATTTGGCCAGAGGGAGTCCTTTTCTCAGACAGCCTGACCTGGAATCACTCGGACAGACATTGAGGGAATCTGAGCTGTCACCTGGATTTTTGTTTCAGTTAAAACCAGCTTTAATTTGTTTAATGTATGTATGTTTAACCCTACTTGAAACCCACTATATTAGTTTCCTGTTGCTGCAATAACCTATTACCACAACACACATTAAAAGCAACATGAATTTTTAATCTTCTATTTCTAGAAGTTTGAAATGGGTCTCAAGGGGCTAAAGTCAAGGAGTCAGCAGGCTGGTTTCTTCTGGAGGTTCTATGGAAAAATCAGTTTCCTTGCCTTTTGTATCTTCTGGAGGACTCCTGCATTCCTCAGCTCATGGCTTCTTCCTCCACCTTCAAAGCCAGTAGTGCAGTGTTGTCATATCTCTTTGACCTCTGCTTTCATCATCATGTCACCTTCTTCCATTCTGACCCTTTGGCCTTCCTCTTATAAAGGCCCTGTGATTACACTGAGCCTATCTTGATAATCCAGGATAATCTCCCTCATTTCTGTTTTTAAAAAATTAATTTATTTATTTTGAGAGAGAGAGAAAGGGAGAGAGAGGGAGGGAGGGAGAGAGCCAGTGGGGGGAGGGGCAGAGAGACAGGGAGAGAGAGAATCCCAAGCAGGCTTTGTGCTGAGAGTGCAGAACTGGACATGGGGCTCGATCCCATGAACCATGAAATCATGACCTCTGCTGAAATTAAGAGTCAGACGCTTAATGGACTGAGACACCCAGGTGCCCTAATCACTCCCATTTCAAGCTCCTTATTTTGATCAAAGTCCCTTTTGCTTTGTAAGGTAACATACTCATAGGTTTCAGAGATTAGGATGTGGACATCTTTGAAAAGCCATTGTTCAGACTACCACACACTTTAACCAAATAAAGAGAAAGGGGATGCCTGGCTGGCTTAGTCAGTAGAGTGTGCAACTCTTGATCTCGGCGTCACAAATTTGAGCCCCATGTTGGGTGTAGAGATTACTTAAAAATAAAATCTTTAAAAAAAATAAGGAGAAAGAGTGATAAACCTGGAAACTGGGAGAAGAATGGACTAGAAGTAGGCAGGCAGATGTTAGACAGGAGGTTGGGGCAGAATCAGCAAGGAAGATGCTGGTGGTCTGGGCTGGAGTAGAGTGGGAAGAATGGACACCGGCCATGTTTCAGAGGGAGGATGGCTTGGTCTTGGGGACTGTCTGGGTTAAATGGGCAAGGACCAGGAGACTGAGTAGATAGTGGTGCCCTTGGAAGGGTCTGAGGGGGAAGAACAGATTTGTGGCAAAGACAAAGAGGGCATACAGGGATGTGTTGCATCTAGATACCCATGAGACATCTAGGAGAGGTGACTGGGAACCAGGTGGACCCAAAGTCTAGATGGCTGTGACTCTCAGGTCCCTCCTCTCCCTGTGGGCATATATGGGCTTATCCTCCACATTGATTTCTAGGTCATCATCTCTGTTGGACCCGAAAGTTCTCCAATTCCAGGTAAGAGTCATCTTGATTGACATCTTAACAAGAGAAGTTATCTTGCATTTCTGAGGCCAGAGTACAGAGATATTTATTCCACAATAAGTTTGAGTTTATCAGGACTGGAAACAAGAATTTATATGGTAGACAGATTCAATCACTTGCACAAGGACTCACAACTGGCCTGTGGCAGAGTAGGAGTTGTTAATGCATGTGGCGCATGCATTTTAGGCATAGGGATGTTTTCTGTCCAGCCCATTCTAAGCTGATAGCAGCCAGCTGCTCACCATTTTAGGGCCGTGGAGATTTGGAAGACAAAGGTTCTTCCTGTTTTTTGAGAAAGCCTGAGCTCATGGGAGGGTCCATTTCCAGTGTTCCCAAGGAGAAAGGGAGAGGGAGCTTTCAGGGAAGCTGGGTCCAGCAGGGAGGTCTCCAAGGCAGGGGAAGGGAAGAGTCTTCAGGCCCTGCAACCAGGGAAGCAGGCACCTATCCCCTGGCAATCTTGGGGCATCAGGCACGGCCCCTTAGAGCCCAAACCTGGAAGTCCTGTGGTTGGGACAATGGCTGTGGCCTCAGTACCAGAGAGGACCCATGACTAGAGCGTGCTTCTCAGGCTGCTATTGCAGGAGATCCTGAGTCCTTGGAATAACCTGGGTAATAGGAGCCCAGCAGAGACCAAGACTGAATGTCCCACCAGTCTGGAAGAGGGGGCTCCCAGTAGGATTTCTGCTTAATTTAAAGGAAATATAGAAAGGAGATATTTTGTGCTGCATATTTTCTTTTATACTTCACATTTTATATTATGGGGAAACCTGCATATTTATTTGTGTATTTGTCTATACCTGTCTTTCCCTTAGCCTGTAATCTCCCTGAGGGGTAGGGATCTCGTGTTCCCCATGGTATGCCCAGTGCCCAGCACATACTCATTAAAGTGTGCAGGCTGACTGGGGGGTCTCCCTGACAGTGGTAGTCTCAGGGAGAAACTGAAGGGGGGCACGTTTGGGACAAGTTACGATTTCGAGAAGACAGCTGTGGAGTGAGGGTGGGGGAAAGTGGGTTTTCGAGGACAATAGTTGAAAGGGAACGGGGAACGCGGAGGCTCGGGTTCCAGGGATCCCAGCGGTCCCTGGTGAGCCCCGCCCCGAACCTTGGTGCCGGCGCGAAGCGACGCAGCGCGGTTTGGCCGCTGTGGGGCGCCGTAGCCCGCGCCGTTGCCAGGGGAACGGGCCCAGCTCCTGAAGAGTTCCATCCTGCCTCGGCCTGGCCTGGCGGGGCTGTACAGCCAGCCCGCTCCAGCCGGTGCCCGAGGACTTGCCCGCCCGGCCTCCGTCGCGCGGCCCGGGATGGGGCCCCGCTCCGGGCTGCGCCACCGCCTGGTCCCGAGGACCATCTCCGTTGTGAGGGTCTGAAGTGCAGCCACCGTGGGAGGGTGGGCGGCCAGGCGCGGGGGCTGAACTACCGGGTGACCTTGGCAGGGCCGAACTGGCTCGGTCGACGCGACGCGCAGGTGAGTAGCCCCCACCGCGGTTCTCACCTCGAAACCTGGCATGAGCCACGGGGTTGTGGCTGCAGCCGCTCGGCTGTGCTCTGCGCTCACCTTGGCCTGGAGCCCGCGGCCTGGGCTTCAAGGGACAGGGCAGAACGCGGGGCTTCCTTCTAGTATTCATCAGGTTCACATATCTGCATTGAGCAGATACTCAATATACACAGTATTCTCAATACTGTGTGCCAGGGACGGGGTCACTGAGGATTCCAGGAAACGGCACGATCTCCAGAACCCACAGAGTATAAAGGGGGGTGGGGTGGGCAGGCTCCAGATAGACGACTGTGTGATTTTCGCTCGAGATAAGTACTCTGGTGACGTCATGGAGGGGGCGGGGGTGGTGTTCTGGCAGGGTCTCCTATAAAAGGTGACTTTGAAGCTAAGACCTGAAGGTTGAAAGGAACCAGAATTGTAAGTAGGGGAAGGGTGTTTCTGGAAGAGGGAAAAGCAAATGCAAAGGCAGCAAAGTACTATTAAGGAACAGAAAGGATGAGGGGAGCATTGAAGGATGCGATGGAGGTTTCAACTTTGTCCTAGAAGCAGGAGGAAACCATTGAAAAGTTTTGATGAATTTGAAGTTTTGAAAAGCTCACCTTCCTCTGGCTGCTGTGGGCAGTGTCCTTATGACAGGGCACACCAGCAAGTCATTTGAGGGCCATTGTAATTCTGCCAGTCTGTGTCTCCTAGAAGAACTTAGTCTCTCTGAGCCTCAGTGTCTTCATCTGTGAAAGGGGGATGTTATTCTGCATGTTGTTTATGAGAGAGAAAGTGAGACACCAGTCCATCCGAGACCAATGACAGAGGAGGTCTTTGGGAACAGTTTGAAATGACAGGACCTACCTCAGAGAGTTGTGAGGGATTATAAGTGCATTCTGTTAAAGTAGTTCCTGGCACAGAAAAAGTTCCCTCCAAATGGCCGTTATTACTGAAACTACATTGCTACAGGGGAGCAATGATGGAGGGTTGGATTAGGGTGATGGCAGCAGAGATGGTAACAAATGGTTTAATTTCTTTTATTGAAGGAAAGCTGGATTTAGAGATAGGTGTGGGGTGGTCTTTGCTTTTGTGGAACTGGTGGTTCACCATGGAAGATGGGTTTGTAAACGGATAATCACCATGAGTTGCAATAAAAGCAACATTGGTGCTTAGTTTTTGTTTTTTTTTTTTCTTTTCTTTTGTTTTTCTTGCTTTGTTTTGTCACAACTTTGCTCTTAACGACTGTTTCTTGGTGGGTGTTCCTCCAGGCTTGCTCCTACAATCATGTGAGTTGATTTCCTGGTTAAAATCAACAACCGTTGGCTCCTCTCATTGGCCTTTTTTCGCTCCATTGTTACTCCTTCCTTCTTGTCCCGTTTCCCTGGCTAAACCTGAATCCCAAACAGTTCCAGTGGTTGCTTCAGGAGGAGAATGGCACAGAAAATGTTTGCACACCACATCAACTCAGGAATGAGTGAGATTTCAGGGTTTTCTTGCTCTAGCATCAGACTTCTGTGTGTTGTTTATGTGAAGAGCCCAGCCACATCTGAGGCCAGTGACTGGACGGGTCTATGAGAACAGCTTGAAGTTCCAATTTATTTTCTGGGCATTGTCGTGAGGTGCATATCTTAGTCAAACTGGAGCCACTTCCCAGAATTTTAAGGCCAGAGACTTCTCTGGTACCTGGAGGGAATTTTAATAAAGTATTTGCATTTGCCCAAAACTTCTTTTATAAATGACTTTTTTTGCACTGTAAAACAGTGTGTACCATGCAGCATTTTTTTTCCAGCCTCTGTTTAGGTTTAAATTGGACATCTGTTAAATCTTAGTGAAAATTATTTTATTTTATTTAAAAAAATTTAAGTTTATTTATTTATCTTGAGAGAGAGAGAGCGCGAGCAAGCGAGCTTGGGGGAGGAGAGAGAGAGAGAGAGAGAGAGAGAGAGAGAGAGAGAGAGAGAATCCCAAGCAGGCTCCATGCTGTCAGCACAGAACCCACATGGGGTTTGAATCCACGAACTATGAGATCACAACCCAAGCCAAAACTGACTGAGCCGCCCAAGCACCCTTAGTGAAAATTATTTTAAAAGCAGATGCAAGGAAAAGTTGTTTAGAAATATCCATAGACAGGTGCCAGGATGGCTCAGTCGGTTAAGTGTATGACTCTTGATCTCAGCTAAGGTCTTGATCTCAGGGTCATGAGTTCAAGCCCTGCAAGAAAGCAAAAGAAATATCCATAGAAAATAATTCCTGTAAATCCTCTAGCTTTTCTTAGCAAACAGAAAAGATGGTTGTGAGCAAAACCATCCTGTTGCATGCACCTTCCCTTTGGGTTCTGGAGTCACAGGAGGCTGAGCTGACTTTTGGCTGAGCACTAGAACAGGGTCCTGCCCAGCAACTCCTCTTGTGCTGCCCAGAGGTCTGATTCCAACTTTGACAAGACTCCCAACAGCTCATAGGGAGCTCTGTGGTTCTTCCTCACAGCTCTGCAGTGGAATGATTCAGAGTTGCTTTCGAGGAGTGAGGAAGCACCGAAATAAAACTGAGCACTCTTTTTGCATGGTAGTTAGGTGGGATTTCCTTGTTTGTCAGGTGTGGTACAGGGCTCTGGAGCCCACAAGCACATTTGGTCTACGTGGCAGCCCAGTGGGCCAGGAGGGTAAGAGGTGACACCCCTTAATTATTTATCTGACACATTCTTTTTTTCAAAAGCATTGATGCATATGGTAAAAAAATTTCAAACACTGCACAGTAAAAGCAAGTCTCTTTCACTGCAGCCACTAGATCTTCCCAGAGGCTGTCCCTGTGTTTGCCTTTTTGCATTTCTTTCCAGAGAGAATCTATGCAAATTGGAACATACCCATCCCTGTTTGTTTTCACTTACTTGATATAGCATGTTCTACAACTGCCCACATCTTGCTTTTTCACTTCACTGTGTATCGAAGGTCATTTCATCCCTCATTGTTTTGATATTGTATAGCATTTCATTGTGTGACTGTGCCATAGTTTGTTTATATTGTTTTTTGTTCTTTATTATTGCAAACAAGACTGCTGTGAATCTTTGTGTACTTTGTGACTATATGTATAAGATAAATACCTAGAAATGGAATGACTGGGCCCAAGGGTATATGTGTTCTAAAGTTTGGTAGACATTGCCAAATTGCCTTCCAGCTACCTTTTTTTTTTTTTTAAGTGGGCTTGAACTCATAACCCCGAGACCCAAGAGTTGCATGCTCTAGTGATTGAGCCAGACAGGCACCCCCCAGCTAACTTTTTAAAAAGCTGAGTAAAGAAGACACCCAAAGAGTTGCCTCTGAAATTTGCCTCCGGGTTACCCAATCTGTGAGTGGCAGTGCAGGAACCAGAGCCAGGATCTGTTTCCAGGCCTTGTGCTCTTGCCTAGCTCCAACCTGCCTCTCTCCCTTGGTGGCTCAGGTCCCCAGGCCCTCAATCCCCCTCTAAGAGCCCTGTCTCTTCTTCTCTAACCCCTTCATTCTACCCTGCCAGGTCAGTGGCCTCCTCCTAAAAAGCCTCTTTAGTAATGAAATTGATTCTTTTCTGAAATCCTCAAACATTTTTCAGGAACACAGGGGTGCCCACAGCCTCTCCAGGGCTAGTATTTTTCACTTTAGTCTGGTTGTTTTGACAACGCCATTCATAAATCTTAGGAAACATTCCTAAATACTTTTTTGGTGGGAGGAGAGGTGGGCAAGAGGGAAGTGGATCAGTCATAGAACTATTCTACAGTTCATAATGAGAACTTGAAATGTTGACTTCCCTCATTTAAATTAGGCACATAAAGTAAGGTAGCCTAACTTTCTTTTGAAAATGCTATTTTAGGGTTTTAGCATAGGAATGTTAACAGGAAGAGATTAGTGTCATCTTAGCAATGACCTTTATCTTATTGGGACAAGGGAGGGGGCTATACAGCCCCTCTAGCCCACCTCAGAAGCCAGGTGGGTCCTTGGCTTACCCAAGGTGACCTTTACCCAAAGGTGGCGACTTTTGGCCTTAACACTCCTTGGGACCTCGTCACTCTTGTCTCCATCTCCACCAGTTTAACTCTGTGGTTTGTTCTGTGGCAGCAGAAGGTACATGAAGAAACTTTTACCAAGGCACACATACCTCTCAGCCCACCAGAGATGCAGCTGGAGGCATCGGTGGTTTAGGGGACCTTGTGGGCTTGGACTCCATCTTCTGGCCAATTCTTCCCAAAGCACAAGGCTGCTGGGCTGCTGCCCTCCCTGGGCCAGCCTGCTGTTGTGTCACCTTTCCCCTCTTGCTCGTGCCCTCTTCCCTACTGGACTAGAAGAAAGCTTTCTAAAACACCCACCACCTTTGTGTCGTTCCCCTGCTTTAAACTTCTTATGACTCCTTGTGGCTCTTTCAATAGTAGCCAGACTTCCTTGCCTGGCCTCCTAAGCCCCATGGGATCTGACCCTTCAGCTCCTCAGGGCTCATCTCCTTCTCTAGATCCCCCCTCCATGCACCCTGTGTTCTGTCACTCTGAATGGCTCACCCTTGTATGACCCATTCACCCACTGCCTTCATGTCTGTCTGGGCCCCCAGAAAGCAAGGCCCTGAGGGCAGGAGCCTGGTCTCATCTGTGTTTATATCTTTAGTGCACACAGGGGGCTGGGCCCCAAAAGTGCTGACTGGGCCAAGGTGTAAATGCACAGGCTGGCCAAGCTGTCCGGGAGCAGAGCCATGCGTCTTTCATTCTGGTCTTCTAGAGAAGTGCCGAGAGGGGAGGAAAAGCCAGAGAAGTTCCTGGGTCTGATGACAGTGCTTGGTCCCATCCCTGCCTGAGGCCCTATCTTGGATTCTCTCCTACCTCCCAGCCCTTTTAATCAAAGCCTTTTGGGCCAAAATAATTTGTAGCCACCAACCCCATAAGAGAAAACGTCATCAGGTAAGAGCTGGCTGGCCCAGGTTTTCCGGGCAGGTGGCATGCCTCCTGGCCAGCTTGGGTGTCTGCTCTGGGGTGCTGCTACTGCTGTACAGGACTCACCCAATAGCACCATTCCCCTTCCCTCTGTCTCACATGAGGGGCACCTCCCTGGGCCAGTTGTCCCCGGGTTTGGAGTCAGAGCCACCCCCAGGCCTCAGATGATGAGTCCTCCCACTTCAGATATTGGGGAGACAGAAGCACTGGGGGTGCCTGTGACCACTGCCACTCTGAGCAGTGGGGACATGTCAGTCATATGCCTCTGCTGCTTTCTTTAAAAACTTCCTCAAGGTGTAGGGCTGCACAGGTGTGAAGATGGCAAAAGGAAAGCTAGAATTTAAGGATCCTAATTCATGGGTTCCCTTCAAAGGAGTTTCCCTGGTGATGGTGTCACTGGAGAACGGATGTGCAAGCCACAGGGATTTGCCCCTGAGCAGAACCACCCACCTCAACTGTATTTACAGGGCTTCACCTAAAGACCTTTGAATTCCCAAAAATCAAGGACAGATTTGCTACCTCTGGGGACATTGAAAATAAAGTGGTACCTGCTTTTTTTTTTTTTTTTTAATTACCATTGTCACTTTGATCAAAGGTGAGACGGTTAGAATGACCATCCAGTGGCCCAGCTCTTATGACAACATGTTCCTTGGGACCACTGGTTTAAGAAAGCAGCTTCAACCAATCCCATTACTTTGGAAATTAACCTTGTAAGATATCAGATGCAGCAGCCTTCCTTTGGAGAGATCAGGAGAACCCAGAGGGCTATTTTAAGGGTAATTATAATATCTATCATTTACGAAGCATTTATGTGTCAGGGCTTTACTTACAGTGTTGCTGATCTATACACAGCACTAGGTAGCCATCCCTACCCCCATTTTTCAAATGAAGAAACAAGCCACTCAGCTAGTAAGTGCAGAGCCAGGACTTGAACCTAAATCTGTTACCTCCAAAGCTGGGGCTCTTTTTTCACTTTTCACTGTTTCTTTTTGAAGACAAAGCAAATGACCAGGAGATTCCAATTGAGTCCCTGGGAGAAAACTAAGGTCATCCCATTTAGCTTTGAGATAAGGCTGCTCAGAGATGAATATGGCGGGCTTGGCTTACAGGAGGCTCTGAGCCTCAGGTGGGATGAAGCAGTGGCTAAGTGTGAATGTCCGGCAGTCAGGGTAATAATAGCCAGTGGCAGGGGGAGCTGGGCAAGAGGTATGTCTCTGCATGGTGGCTGTGCAGATCGAAGGCAGGGCAGAGTGGGCCAGATGGCTCTGGGTGGACCAGGATTCCACACCATTTATTGCACCCACATTTCCCTTTATTTCAGATGATTTCAAGTCAGCAAACATTTACTGAGCACCTACTATGTACAAGGTATGTTTTGGGTGCTTGGGGAAGGGCATGTGGGGAGCAGGGGTAAGTGAATCACAGTACAGTTGCTACCCTTAGGGAAAATTGGCATAACAGGGAGCAGATGTGGGGATGACACAGGGTTCCAAGTGGCAAAGTGACTTGCCCATGAAAGACTGAACATGAGGGCCCCCTGACTCTGTTTGGGGCATCAGGGAAAGCTTCCTGGATTGGTGATGCTTAAAGTGGGCACTGAAGGCCAAATCACATTTTGTTGGGCCAAGATGTGAGGAAGGTGTTCCGGGTAGATGTGCTGAGGGGGGTCTGCTGTACTTTCTGATATAGTCAGACTCCTTGGCCCACAGGCATGGGCTCCCGAAAGGAGAGTCTAGCTGCCAGGGTTTTATCCCTTACTCCTGGCTATCCCACCAAGGGCTCTGAGTTGGCCTGTCTCCCCAGGTGTGGCGCTGCCTGCCCAGGCGCTAGTCCTCCCTCAGGCCCAGAAGATTCTGGAGGTGGGGCTCTTCCTCCAGTAATGACAGCACACCCTGCCTGCCTTGCATGTGATTTTGGCCTCTAGGCCAGGTCTTAGACTAAAGGATGGTGGGATGCGGGTGGGGGAGTGCTGCCACCTGGTGGTCTGGCTGTGGAGGAGGCCCAGCCTTCTCTGAGCGAGCTCTCAAGTGAGTCAAAGGCCATCAGCCCACTTGTCTCTTCTCAGTGCACTAGGCCCAAATTTACCTAGAGAAACATGGTCTTTTTTGCTGCTGGAAGGAAGCAAGGGGGTATCCTTCCTTCTCTTGCATGCTGGCCCCTCCCCAGCCAAGAAGTCTGAGGCACAGGGGAGATGGTTTAAGGGCTCCCCCACGCCCCATCCCCGCTGTTCCCAGCCTCTCTCCTAAAGGGATTACGTGCTAACCCAAGGGCAGACACCAGACCCCCTTCTGAGCACCCCTAGTCCATGTTTCCTCTAGCAAAGAGTAAGGGGGCCCTTTCTGACACTTGCATTTGGGCCTCAGGACAGAGGTGACTAACAGAATCAGCATGTGTTCTCATTGCTCTGGCCCCAGCCTGATATTGTTACCAGATGAGAACATGTCTTACTGGGCTTAACTCTGATGGCTGTGGAGACAGCACTTTGAGTATCAGGCAGCCACACTGTATTCTGAATAAACCCTGGACCCTCCTATCTTGTCCTGGCCAGGGCTGGGGCCAGAGCTTGCTCTGGGGCTTTGAGAAACACTCCACTACCACCTTCCCCCATGGCCTGTCTTCATCATGCTAGGGCCCCAGTTCTTCTGCAGAGTAGCTGGGAGATGACTTCACATCCCGGCCTGCTCTCCACATGGGGCTCTGGGCTCCAGCCCGGGCCTCCTTAGGCTAATGCTTTCTCTACTTTTCCTTCCTCTGGAGATGAACGTCTGCAACAAGCCCTCCAACAAGACAGCCCCTGAGAAGAGTGTGTGGACAGCGCCTGCACAGGCCAGCAGACCCTCCCTGGAGCTGCAGGGCCAGCGGTCCCGCCGGAATGGGTGGAGCTGGCCCCCTCACCCGCTCCAGATTGTGGCTTGGCTGCTGTACCTCTTCTTCGCTGTGATTGGCTTTGGGGTCCTTGTTCCCCTCCTGCCTCACCACTGGGTGCCCGCTGGCTATGCTGTATCCTTGGGAAAGTGTGGGGCTAGTACATGGAAGAACTGGGGCAGTGGATGGAGGAACATGGCAGAGGCCTGAAGCTGGGCTCCAGAGCCCCACAGAGTGCAGGCAGGCCCCCTCTCTGCCCAGGAGCACCAGCTGCCTCCCTGCCTGGTTTCCAATCCCCATCTGACCCCTCTGCCTGATGGGGTGAGCAGATGGACCTAATGTACCTTGGAGCATTTAAAGCCCACACAGCTAGGAACCTTGTCAACTGAGATACCGCAAGAGTGATCACAGAAGAGAGCCTTAATGTTAATTGTGTCCAGAGCTCGACAAGGGATAGAGAGTAATTATTCCATTTACAAAAGAATCTTTCACTTTTCAAAAAGAGTCATGGTAGAATTCTTTTACATAGTAAGTTTCCTGGTATATTTAAAATGTGGTTTTATGTACAGTCAGATAATTATGCTGTACCCAGGACTGTTTAGGAGCTCATTGGTTTTGTAAACCAGACTCTTAGTGTGAAGCTGAGTTGACAAGAGGAGGGATAGAGATGCCCTGGAAACTCGTGGGAACAGTGACAAACACAAACTTGCCTGAGCCCAGTGGTATGACTCCCCCAGCCTTGGCCACAACCCCCAGGAGCCGAGGACGTGGCTGCAAGGCTAGGAGATTGGGGTGTAACAGGTGGCTATATGCCCCTGTCCGGAGGGTGCCCAGAAGAGGGTGCCCTCATGTGTGTTCTTCATGAAAATGATTTCTTGGGCTTCCTGGGGGAGAAGGGCGAGGGTGGGCTAAAGGAGGTTAGCAGAGATTAACTTGAAAGCTCCGGGCGTAGGGTCAGCAGCCGAGGTTGGTCACAGCTCAGTCCCTCAGGGGTCAGACAAGGCTGAGCAGCTTCGGCCAGCTCCCTGGTTCTCAGCCTCCTCCTCTGTCTGACAGGAGTCCTGCCTGCTTCGCAGAGGAAAGGAGCACCGAGGGTGTGTGTGTGAGCACCAGAATATGTGAGCCAGAAGTGTGAGTGTGCTTTCTTGGGAAACCACAGAGCCCTTGGCTGGTGCGTGACAAGGACAAACATGTGGAGAAGGACTGTAGAGAAGGTTGTTGTCCTCAGACACCAGCAATATCGCTGGGGGGGGGGGGGGGGGCTTCCTGGTTCACTAGGACCCAGGGCCTAGTCATCAGCTGTGTAAATGGAACACTGGCCTTTCCCTGAGGGGACCAACAGGACTTAGACCTTAGTGCTCTTAAGTAGAGTGGTTCGTGAAATATTCCTCCCATGATCTGGAATGGGCATGCCCCTCACTCAGGATTATCTGGGCTTCTACCACCAGGATACCTGGGAAGCCAGATTCATAACTACGTGGTTGCAGTGAGTACAGTCAGAGCAAAAACAGTAAACAAGAGTAGCTAGCATCTGTTGAGCATGTATATGTGCCCGGCACTGTGCCAAGCCCTGTATGTGGATTATATCATTCAATCCTCATAATAATCTATAAGGAAGGTGTTCTCCCCACTTTACTAATGAAGAAGTCAGGGCTCAGAGAGTTTAAGCGACTTCCTGAGGTCACACAGCTGATACCCACCGAGACAAGAAGGGCTGCTCAGGCAACCTGACTCTGAGGCAGTGGGACGATTTAAGGGTTTTGTCCTCTCCACATTCATTCCTTTGGGCAACGTGGAGGCTCACAGAGCCACCAGGATTGGCACTCCCACTTCTAGGCCTGTATGCTTCTCCTTCCTTCCATCAAAGCCACCTTCCTTATGAAAACTTCCTCAGGGCCCCTGAGGAATGAGGTAGGGCAATGGTGTGTAGCAAGTACCTACCTGGGGCCTGGAAGTGGCCTGGGACCTACCGTTGCAAAGATGAGTAAGACAGGCCCCCAGCCCTGGGGTGCTCAGCCTGCCGCTGGGGGAAAGCCTTGTAGATTAGAGATCATCACACGGTAGGTATGAGGGTAGGAGCCATACAACAGATTATGGGTGTAGGAGGAGGGCTGTCTAGACCAACACCACCGTGGGCTCAGATGCGGATCTGCTATGTGCCCATCCTCCTCTGTGGTCACCTTTCTGGGTACTCTTGGCTCTGCCCCTTTCCTTCATCATCTATATCCAGTCAGTCATCAAGTTCTGTGGATGTTAGCTCCTAAATAGCTATCCAAGCTTGCCCTCATTCCTCCCCACTGCCATCTGCCCCTCTTACCTAGATGACTGTTTTGTTTCCAAATAGGCCTCCCCCCACACACTCTTGGGCCAATCCATCGGTGTCCACCCGTGTTCCTGCAGCAGATTGCCCTTTCAAAATCCAAATCTGATAAAGTTGCTCCCCAGCTTAACATCCCATAATGGCTTCTTCCTGTCTTAAGAAATGATGTTCAAGATCCTCAGGACTCTTCATGTTCTGGGTTCTGTCCATCTCCCCAGCCTCTTACATTATTTCCTCTGACACCACTGGTCTCTTGGCTGGAAGGCTCTTGACTCTCTCCCTACCCGAACACCCAGCTAAATAAGAAGTCCAGAACCAGCAGCCCACAGGCCTGTTTGGCCTACAGATTTTCTTTTCTTTTCTTTTTTAAAGTAGGATCTATGCCCAGAGTGTGGCTTGAACTCACGACCCCAAGATCAAGAGTCACACGCTCAACCAACTGAGCCACCCAGCTGCCACCAGATTTTCTTTTTTATTAAAAAAATTTTTTAATGTTTATTTATTTTTGAGAGACAGAGAAGGAGCGCACACACACACACGAGTGAGGGAGAGGCAGAGAGAGAGAGACAGATCCGAAGCCGGCTCCACGCTGACATCAGAGAGCCCAATGTGGGGCTCAAACTCAAGGAACTGTGAGATCATGACCTGAGCTGAAGTCAGACGCTTAACTGACTGAGCCATCCAGGTGCCTCCAGATTTTCTTTTTTAATTGGGGGACAGTTAACACACAAAATGGACAGTCTTAAGTGTTCCTTTAGCAGGTGTATTTTAAGAATTATTTTTTGTCAACATTTAAAAAATGAGACCTCATAAAAATCCAGATTTCTAGTTCCTTTTGAAAAGTTAGAATATGGTGGTGTGTGCCCTTATTCTAGCATGGCAGCAATGAGCTGAGCTGGAACCACACACCAGCCACCCCTCTGGCCGGGACTCTACTTGGTCCCAGTACCCAGCCAAGCCCCTCCTATTTACATTATCTGTTCCTCTCCAAGTCTCAGCTGAGATGATGCTTCAGCTTTCCGGATCCCTTCAGATGAGGTTACTCAGTTGTAAATTCACATGGTCCCATGAACTTCCTTCATTGTAATCAACCCATTATTTGATTAACATATGTGTTTCCCATCAGACTGTAGGCTCCTTGGGGCGAGGGCCCAAGTCTGTCTTGCCCCTGGCATAGCCCTCAGAGCTTGGCGCAGAGAAAGGCCTGAGTGAACAGTCAAATGAATGAACCAGGGAGTGGTATGGGAGGAGTGTTGGAGCAGAAAACTAAATGTTTGCCTGCATTCAATGTGTCTGAAGAGAGGCTGGAATGGTGAGGAGTAGTGGGTGGTGATATCAGACAGGTGTGACAGGAGCCAGAGCAAGAGAAGCCTTGGCACTGAACAGAACAGTAAACTTTAACTTGAGAGCCATCGAGAGCCACTGTAAAAATTGAAGCAGGCAAGGCTTTATTTAAGCTATTCAGCGCTCACTTTGGGATCAAGTGAAGGGCAGGCTCAAGGGCACTGAGGCCAGAGGAACAGAGTCAGGAGACTGTGGAGTACCCAGGGAAGAAGTGAAGGCCTGACCCACAGCCAGGGCTGTCTGGCCTTCGTGGGCTGTGGTCCTCGTGTTCAGCTGTGGTGTAGCATATTAGGGCAGAGCCTGGCTCACACAGACATGTATGGAAATTTGGCCACTGGCAGGAGGAAGAAGAAGAAAAAAGGAGGTTAGGCAGCCGACTGATGGAGGGATGAATGATGGAAGGATATGAGGTCTGCCTGGTTAGCAAGAGGACAGATGGAGGGAGGGAGGGCAGATGGCTGTCTGGAACCTATTGGTGAATTTTTACAAATGTAGACTTTGCAGCAAATTGTCAGGATACTTGTCCCCTGCATTTGTTCTATTCACTGAGCAGATAGGTCCTGGATGATCTGTGTTTCAGCCCCAGGAATTAGCCAGGCTGCCCCTGGCCAGGCGCTGAATATGTCAAGCCATCCCAGAATCCTCAGCCCTAGGGCTCCAAGTACCTGGACTCCAGTCAGGGAGGCGGTGGGTATATTGGACCCTACCTACAAGTGATTCTCCATCTGGCCCAGCTGCTGAGAAAGGATGGCTGCTTCCCTCTCAGATCCGAATTCCTATGAAGGCAAGAGAAACAAACTTAGAACTTATATTTTGGGTCCTTGGGCCTTAGAGGATAATCTCTTTCAGTCTCATTTCACCATTTAGAATCTGAAACCAGATCAGATTCCAACATCAGACCAGCCTATGGCCTGTGCCAGGACTGGAGCAGTGAGGCCAGGGCCCTGTGGTTGGGCCGCTCAGCGACAGTAGGCAGTGCCTTGTGAGCTCCATTACCAGATGGCTCCTCTCTTCCATCTGGGGCATGGGTATGCTGAAGAGGTCTTTCAAGAAAGCTCTTGTGGGGCTGGAGGTAAGAGGTGGCACAGGGAGAGAGTCTCTGCATGAGGGAGTCATATGGAAGTGGAGAGCTGCTACCTGGCCCTGGGAAGTGGGGAAGAGGGGCTTCCAGCCAGCAGAGTGTGGAGTGAGTCTTTAACCTTCTGGGCCAGTGCATGGGCGCCATCTTTGCCGGCCACCTTGTGGTTCACCTGACTGCTGTCTCCATCGATCCAGCAGATGCCAATGTGAGGGACAAGAGCTATGCAGGCCCCCTGCCCATTTTCAACCGCAGGCAACATGCACACGTCATTGAAGACCTGCATTGCAACTTGTGCGACGTAGATGTGTGAGTGAGTGTGGACTGAGGGTGTGTGTGGGTGGTGATTGTGCCCCGGGGAACTGCCAGCGTACGTTCAAGGCGGAGAGGGACATGCCCAGGGCTTTATAGTTATGCTGATGCCTCAGAAACCTCGTGTTTTACACAGTCAAGAATCTTGACAGAGTGACAGAGAATTGGGTGAAGGAGGAGATTGGAAACAGAAGATGAGGAATGGCATTTCCAACAGTTACAGTAGGAGACACTTGGCACTGCCACAGACTTTTCTACTGACTGACTCTGCCAGTGACTCCCCTACCCCCATCTCTCACAAGCATTCCCAGATAGGGATGGGGAGGGGCACTAATGCTTGAGTACTTACTATGTGCTAAGTGCTTATGAACAACCCTACAGGGTGGGCAGCACCTCACCTCACAGAAGAGGAAGTGCCCAATGCTCATATGGGAGCCCAGTGCTCCCATATGACCTATGGCTGAGGTCATATGGCTATTGGGCAGCAGAGCTAGATTCACAATCCAGCCTGCCTGGCCCCCAAGCCCATACTGTTATCCTCAGTTACCCATGAGGAATCTGAAGCCCAAAGAGGCCAAGTGACTTACTCCAGATCATGCTGCTAGTGGGAAGGACAGTCAGAATTTGCAGAGCCCATGCCTCCTTGGCTGTTCTGGACTGCCTCCCTAGGTCCCTCCCTACTCTCCTGGAGCTTCCAGCCTCAGGCAGGGGATTGGGGATGGCGGTATGGTCCAAGGCTAGCTCTACATTTCTAATCTTAATGTTCACAGCCTGTTGAAGGGGTATGTCCCCAGGACAGAGAAAGAGGCAATGGCATTAAGGCACTGAGGAGTTTGGTGTCTGATCATCCTTTCCTTAACTAGGCACCAGTCAGTGCATTGCTCTTAAGTGGATGCTGTGGCAATGGCTGCCCACTCTGTTCTGTTCTGGGGGAAGGGGCTGCAGCTCACTCTCCCACACCCCTTTGGGCTTGCATTCCTAATGTGGCCTCACCTCCTCTGACCCCCTGCAGCAAACTGCTGTTCACCCAGATGTCAGCTTGCTCCTCTTCCTTTGGCTCCCTTTGGGTTAGCCTAGACAGACTTTTTCTGGCAGAGGTTTTCTGGAAGAATGCCAGTAAAATTCCCATAGACTGGCAGGGAAATAGGGACTCAAAAAATAGAGATGTCAGAAAAAGCAACGCAGGCCCCGGACCCAGCAGCCTTGCTCTCTTCTGCTACTTGGTGCCACACCTACATCGTCTCCTGGCTTGGCGCAGGGGTCCTTGCTTGGAAAAGAAGCCCCATTTCCGTTTCATACCACCATCACGCAGGTGCGCAATCCCTTAGCGGTTAAGTGTAATGCCTCCCAACCCCTCTACCTCCTACCCTGGCTCTTCAGAAGCCAGACCTCCTGTGGGTGCTCTGCTTCGCAGTGCCACCAGAGGGCGTGCGCGCTCCCCGTCGCCGTTTCCAGGTTCCGGTGGAGTGCGGGGTGGGTAACGCGCTCCAGGCCCGGCGTTCCGGTCTTCCGTGGCCCCAGCCCTGCCGGTGGCGAAGTGCGGGAAAAGCTAGCCGACCGCCTTGTGCCCCTCCACCCCCTCCCGCAGGAGCGCTCGCTCCAAGCACTGCAGCGCCTGCAACAAGTGCGTGTGCGGTTTCGACCACCACTGCAAGTGGCTCAACAACTGCGTGGGCGAGAGGAACTACAGGTGAGAGCGCGGCACGGGCCGCAAGGGTGCCTGCGGATGCACGGGTCCGAGTGTGAGCCAGGAACCCTGAGCTTGCATATGAGGCGGGGCAGGGGGCAGGGGGTGCGGTGCTTGGTGGACCTGTGCACTGGTGTGCATTAATGTGTTGGTCTGAGGGTGATGCTCCTGATGGCTGCCACCTGGGACTGCTGAGGGAAGGTTTGGGGGCTTTCTCCTGTGGGTCCACAGAATGGTGGGAAGCCTGCTGGGCTGGCTGCCCAAACTGATCTTTGCCCTAAGTCATTGACTTCGTGAGGAGTTGGGGCTGTGGGGTCAGAGGCCTGGCTCCCCTCCCAACCATGGGCCCTTCTGAGTTCTGGGCCCTTATCCAGCTGGAGCACCTGGGTGCTGACAGCTACCCACGGCTGGGCCCAGGCTCTTTCTACACAGTGTGGCATCTGCTTTACTGGGTGTCCTGCTCCTCGTGCTGGTGGCCACTTATGTCTTTGTGGAGTTCTTTGTCAACCCCATGCGGCTGCGCACCAATCGCCACTTTGAAGGTCAGTCCCGGCTCCAGTCCCACTTCCACCTTCCAGCCCTGGGCCTGTCCTAGTCATTGGTCACAGCCCGGATGAGCAGTCTGCCTGTGCCTTGCAGTCCTGAAGAATCACACAGATGTGTGGTTCGTGTTCCTGCCCGCTGCCCCTGTGGAGACCCAGGCTCCTGCCATCCTAGCCCTGGCTGCCCTACTCATCCTTCTGGGCCTGCTTTCCACAGCCCTGCTTGGCCACCTGCTGTGCTTCCACATTTATCTCAGTAAGTCCCCCAGCCCCCACTCACATATACCTATACCTGCCTTGCGGTGGATAGGGGTCCCTAGCCTGCAGGGACGTACCACTTGGGCCGTAGAACCCTGAAGCCATGCTCCTTTTTCAGTATTGGCTTTTGATGGTGGCCTGGTCTCACTTAATGGATTAGTGTATATGGGGACAGTAGTTTTCAGGCTGGGGCTGGGTACCCTCCCTTACCTTCTGAACTCTAGGATCCCCTTTCCACTGCACTGAGCCCTCTCCTCACCCCCTCAGTGTGGCACAAGCTTACCACCTATGAGTACATCGTGCAGCATCGCCTGCCACAGGAGGCAAAGGGGGCCCACAGGGAGCTCGAGTCATGTCCCCCCAAGATGCGGCCCATTCAGGTATAGAAGTCGCCCAGAGGGCTGAGGGGATGGGAGATGGGGCTTGGGTGTGGGAGGGGTGGTGGCTGTGCAGCAAGCAGCAATGAGACAGGGCAAAGGAAAGCAGGCCTGGAATCACAGTTGGAGCAGGGGAGCACCTGGAGGCAAGAGGGGCAAGGCCAAGCCTGTACTAAACACATGTCTGTTTGCTCAAGTGTGAGCACAGCCAGAGGAAGCCCTGTGTTTTCCCAACCCCATGTACATGCCTGTCTGGGCTCCGAGTATGTGCTGGAAGGCATGGGATGTGGGAGCTTGGAAGCGGGCAGGTTGGGGCTGCAGAAGAGAGATGGGTCAGTGACTGGGTCACCAGGATGGAGATGTCAATTCTCTCTACCCGTGACCCTGAGACCTTAGACTCATCACCTTCTTTAATCCTTAAAAGAGCCCATGAGGCAGGTAATATAACTGCAACCGTGTTGCAGATGAGCCTAACTCTGGGTCTGCGAAGAGTTAAAGTCCCTACACTCTGAAGCAGGAACCCTTGTAGCCCAGCTACTGACCAGTCTATCCCCATTCCCACGCCCCATGGCTTCCTGAGGTCAGCAGCTGGAGGTGGGGGTGGTCCAGTTCTTGGAGCCCCCAGGGACTGGGAAGGCAGGGGGCCCAGGCAGGCCTTGCTGGGAAGGCTGAACTCTGGATCCCAAGTCCTCATGGCAACTAGACACAAACACAGGCTGGTGGGCGGGTTGGGAGAAGGCTTGGGACCCGGCCTCTCCTGTTCTCATTGCCAGGGGTAGGGCCTGGGAGGCCCGGGGGGAGTGTTGACTTTTGGTGGTGACCCCCCTGCCACACCACTATGTACACACACTGGTGCCTGGCATTGAACCCTTGTAAGCACAGTGGCAGCTATCCTCGGAGTGGGCATCCCCTAGGCAGGAGACTTTCTCAAGCTTCATAGTCATTACCCACTGAGGCAGGACTGGTCCTAAGATGCTTAGACTACAGGGATCTAGGCCCCTGCCCTGTAGTCACTGCTTGCCTAGGCTTTGGAGTCAGGTGTGCCCGCAAGGGCATTTAATACCATCTGTATGTGACCTGAGGGAGGCCTCCCCAGGAAGAGGAGGGATGTGTTTGTCCCATTGCACAGAGGAGAGTTCTGAGGCTGAGAAGTGCCATTTACCATTCAGGAATGTGCACTTTTTTTTTTTTTTTGGTCAAATTTTTATTTAAATTCTAGTTAACGTATAGTGTAATATTGGTTTCGGGAATAGAATTTAATCACTTACATACAACATCCAGTGCTAATCATAAGTGCCTTCTTAATACCCATCATCCATTTAGCCCATCCCCTACCCACCTCCCTCCATCAACGCAGTTTGAGGAATGTATACATTTAAAAAAAATTTTTTTAACTTGTTTTATTTTTTAAAGTTTACATCCAAATTAGTTAGCATGCAGTGCCACAATGATTTCAGGGGTAGATTCCTTAGTGCCCCTTACCCATTTAGCCCATCCCCCCTCCCACAACCCCACCCGTAACCCTCAGTTTGTTCTCCATATTTATGAGTCTCTTCTGTTTTGTCCCCGTCCCTGTTTTTATATTATTTTTGTTTCCCTTCCCTTATGTTCATCTGTTTTGTCTCTTAAAGTCCTCAGATGAGTGAAGTCATATGATTTTTGTCTTTCTCTGACTAATTTCACTTAGTATAATACCCTCCAGTTCCATCCACAGAGTTGCAAATGGCAAGATTTCATTCTTTTTGATTGCCGAGTAATACTCCACTGTATGTATATATGTGTGTGTGTGTATGTATATATATATATATATATATATATATATATATATATATATACACCACAGCTTCTTTATCCATTCATCCATCAGTGGACATTTGGGCTCTTTCCATACTTCGGCTATTGTTGATAGTGCTGCTATAAACATGGGGGTGCATGTGTCCCTTCGAAACAGCACACTTGTATCCCTTGGATAAATGCCCAGTAGCGCAATTGCTGGGTCGTAGAGTAGTTCTGTTTTTAGTTTTTTGGAGGAATGTACACATTTTGAAGCTGAGAGAGGATCCTGGGGACAGCTGTGATGAAGGGAAGGGGGTTTGAATGGGGATACCCTGGTATACCCTCAAATTTCCCCAGATGGCTAGGACCTGGCTCCTGTCCCACCCTGGCCCCTCAGGCTTCTGGGACCATCCTCTAACTGCTGCTTCTCCCACCCTGCCTTGCTTCTGGAGCCCAGGGGCACCAAGAAATGCTTTGCCCCTCTTTGCTGGGCCCTGGAGGGGTGCCGAGTCCATACTGGGGGAAGAGAAAAGATGGGGGAGGCCAGATTACCGTGAGGTCCCAGTCATTACCTTGAGGTTCTAGTTCTTGTGACTGGCCTCTGAACGCTTCTTTCCCAGTGCTCCTTTCCTGAGGCTGGCGCCCCCACACTACTTTACAAAGGGCTAGTCTGGGCCTTGGTTGGGCATGAGACTTACTCTGGACTTCAATCTCTGCATCTGTGCAGGCAGCCCATGGCCAGCTGGGCTCTATCCCCCAGATCTTCCAGGGCCCTGAAGGCAGCCTCCCCACCCCCACCCTGAGCAGGAATGCGGGAGGGGCCCCACTCTAGAGCCGTTGCCCCCAAACATAGGCTTGTTTTAGAGACGGCATTGCTGTTACAGTGTCATCTCTGCATTAGTCAGGACGCCTTGGTCTCCATGGAAACAACTGTTGAACAGGCGACAGCTGTCCCGGTGCCCCCCCTGCCCCCCCCCCCCCCCGGTAGGGGTGCAGCATCATCCTGGCTCTGCCCTATACCCTCCACACCCCACCAGGGTTGGCTTTTTCCTCGCTTTTGTCTCCTCACCTATAGTCCTTATGAGCGTCCTTTGTGCTCGGTGGCAGGCTTAGGCCACTTCTGTGTCCTCCTGGCTTCAGGTCCCCTCACTTTCAGGGGTTGGTGCTGCCACTACAGTGTCACTGTGAGGATCAGTGACTAAAGTAGACACAGAACTTGCCCATAAGCCTGTTCCCAGATGGGGGCTGTGGTGCTGTTTTTTCCCACCTCTTAACTGCCTTCTCTTTTGGGGTGGGGGAGACCTCGCATGGTCCCACTAGTTCCCCCACCCAGGTAGCTAAGATTGTGGCTGGTACCCTGAGGACTCAGCTCCCATCCAGTCATGCACATAGCCTCAGGTGCACACCCCAGCGTATGAATGTCTGGCCAGTCTCCCAGCCAGGGAAACAATCAGGGAGACTAGAGCCCTGGGAGGAGCAAGAAGTAGGAGAGGGTTGCTCTGAGAGCCTTTTCCCCACCACCCACCTTGGCAGAGCAGACTGAGTACGTTGGACCTATGAGACTGGGGGTTCTCTGGAGGAGGTAGTTTGACTAGATGAAGTGAGGAAGATGGTAGGGATGGGGTAAGGCCCGGAAATGGGTGTTTTAAGCCTCAGCCTACAGAGGGGTTTTCCCAGCATAGCTGGGAAGCCTGGAGGACAGTCGGAAACCTCTGTGCCCAGACCTCCCACAGAGACCAGTGAGAAGTGGGGTATTGTGTACAGGATGGGGTGTCGGATACAGGATGGGGTGGGCTCAGGACCCAGAAGGCCTTGGATCCACACCTGGCCCCAGCCTCCCTGACCCCCACCTTCCCCAGGAGATGGAGTTCTACATGCGGACCTTCAGCCATGTGCGCCCAGAACCCCCTGGCCAGGCCAGGCCTGCCACCGTGAATGCCAAGTGAGTGCAACCTGGGCATGTGCCACCTGAACATCTCTCATTGGCATGGCAGGGACATCCAAGGTGGGAGAAAAGGGGTAGGTCAAGGCCAAAGTATAGGTCTGGGTCCAGCCTGGCATGCCCTTGGACAAATCAGTGCCCTTTTCTGTGTGCTAGGAAGGGTGGCTTATTTCAGAACATCCAGAGGGGTGGGATTTGAGGAAACAATGGGCATCCAGCACTTACCCTTCCACTTCCCCTTAGTCTTTCTCAGTTCCTTGCCACCCGAGGCCAAATGGAGCCCCCCCAACCCTCCTCCCCAGAGACTCTGCCTCCCCGGATCCGACCCCAGGTGAGGGGGACTGTGCTGGGCCCATGAGGAAGGGTATGGGAAAGAAGCCTGTACCCTGCCCCACTCCTCTCCTTCTTTGGGTGAAGTGGGGTTTGGGGAAGGGGCACTCAGGCTTCCCATGTCTCTGCAGAAAAAGAGGAAGCGGCGTGTGTATAAGGTGCCAACCTCTGGCACCTCGGATCGGGAATCGCCGCTGCCCAGGCTGCCGGGTGAGTGTCCCTTTCTGACCAGATCCTGAACTCCGAGGGAAGGAAAGGTAGGGCCCTGAGAGTGTCACAGCCCTAAGTTTCATATTTTCCTCCATCCATGCAGGGCCCAGGGGCCCAGGTCGCAGCTCCAGCTCATCATCAGATTCCGCGGGCGCCAGCCCAGTGCTTGCCACTGGACCTGCAGGCGCCTACCACTCGGCGTCAGCAGAGTCCATGGATGAGATTCCAGTGGCGCAGACACGCCTGGGCAGCGCTGCTCTGGCCACCCCTGGAGGCAGGGGCCGTGAGCCGGGGCTGGCGCTGCAGGTGCGTGCGCCCGCTGTTTTCGTGAGCCCAAGCAGCGGCGAGCCCGGGGCGCGGGGCGGTCCAGAGACCGGCCTACCTTAGCAGGGCGGAGAGGCAGGAGGGCCAAGGAGGACCGGCCATCCCGACTCTCTATGCAACACCCCCACCCTTGCCGCACCGAGTGCACTTTAGGGGCCCCTATGGCCAGCGGGATGGGTCCCCTTCTCCCATGACTCAGCAATACCCCCTCCCCCCCAACCGGCCATGATGCTCCAATAAATTTTTTTTTTAATGCTTTTGCGGACTTAGTGCATACTTCTCAATGGCAAGGGCCATAGGCCCTCCTGGAACTGGACCATTGTCAGTCGGTCTAGGGGCAGAGGGTAGGATGAGCCCCCTCATACACTGAGTGGCCACCTAAGTTGTCATATAGAGAGGTACACGAGGACCTAAGGTGCTCAGGTACAGGGCCCCCGTTGTATAAAGTCCTGGAAGGCTGCCTGGAGGAGGTTATCTGTCTTGAAAATAGGGTTTATACTTGAAAGGGAAAACAGGCTTTGGGATCCGGAGGCAGCAGAGGGGGCAGGGACTGTGAGGCCGACACCGGGGTGGAGTGGGAATAGAAGACCCCAGAAGTCTTTAAACTTCTTCCTGATGTTGGGATTACTGTTGGTGGGCTTGGGGATTCGTGATTAGTGCATTGGTCCCTCCTGCTCTCAGTGCTTTTGAGTGTGGCCCAATAATGCCACACGTTATTGGGAGAGCTGTGGCCTTGAGCCAGCTCTAGAACCCACTGCCATTGAGAGGAAGGGCTTTCTCGCTCCTCTGCCAGCCCTCTGCCCCCCCTTCCCCTCCCCCCTTCACTCTGGCTCCCGCTCCTGTTCCCAAACGGCCTTCGGTTGCCGCTCTGGGAATCTTCATCTTCCCTATGGAGGTGGGGGCCTGCCTTGAACTTTGGGCAAAGCCCCAGATGAGGCTCTTTTCCCGTTAGGGGTTCATCCGAGGACGTCCAGAGCTGCGGAGGGCTGGTCTCCAACGGGCGTGAAGGCCGTGGAGCTGCCCTGCGAGCTGCGGGGCTGATGATATCGCAGCAGCTCCGCCCCCGCTGAGCGCAGAGGGGGAGGGGTCCGGTGGGTGGGGCTAGCGTGACCTTGGTCATTCTCCCGCCGAGACAGCCCTGGGGGTGGGACTCGCCGTCTCTATGGAGACCGAGAAACAGGGGATAATACGGCGGAACCGCCCAGGCTGCAGTCCCTCCCTGGAGCCGGCAGGGAGCAGAGCTGCGGAGCCGCCTTGGTCTCCCGCGTCCGTCGGTCCATTCTTGCGTCCTTCTGTCCATCGAACGAGCACAGTAGGAGCAGCCACGAGGTAGAAGGTAAGAGACTACAGCGCCGACCACTCTAATCAGTATCCTGCACAATAAGGAAGAGGGTGGGGTGGGAGCGCCCTGGAAGGGGTCCCAACCCCAGATGGTACCGAACTGAGGACACCAGCTGAGCGGCCCTGCCCTGGGCCCCAAGCGTTCCTCCCCCACCTCCTTGCCCTGCTGATTGATGACTCCAGCTGTCCCAGTGGGAGTCCGCGGGTGGCCCCAGTTCTTGGGTGTGGCCGCTCCATCCTTGGCCTGCAGACTCCTGGGACTATGGCCTGCGACCTGGCTCCACCTAATCAGTACCAAGAATCCCTTCTTCCCATAACAGGAGTGAGCACTGGATGCAGGATCCTGTCAGTCAGTCTGGGACAAGCATCTATGCCCCAAAACCTCCCCGAGACTTTACAGTTGGGTGGCGTCTCTGGATCTGTAGTGGGAGGTTGGAGTGTAGAGAGAGGGAAGAGGAGTGCTGTGTGAACCTGGGATTGTGGGTCCATAGAGTCGCGACAATGTGGGGACAGCGGGGACCCCTAGGCCCAGAAATTGCAACTTAGGGATAGTGAGGATGGTCACTGGGAGGGGGCTTTCATTGTTAAGGCCAGTGGTAAATGGAAGGGGGTGTAGTTCTGTAGGGGCCCAGGCTATGGTAACTGGAGGCCTTAGGATAGATAAAAGGCAGAGGTAGAAGCTGTTTGCTGAGGACATGACTTAGGGTGTGTTCAGGAGGCTGCAGTGGAGGTTTGGGGTGTGTTCGGGGAGTCTCAACATGGGGTCTCTCAGTGTAATACCTGGGAGTCTGGAAATGCAAGTCTGTGGGTTTGGACACTGAGGGGTTTCAGGGCAGGGTTGAGCATGAGGCCAGAAGGCTTGTGGGTGTAAGGATGTGGTCAGAGGCTACAAGTGTACAGAGAGGGGGTGAGTTGTGAAGCTCTGTTTAGGGGGCTCAGTAAGGGCTGTGGGTATGTGGATAATGAGCCTTAGTCCCAGGGCTGGGGTGTGTGTGTGGACGGGGGTCGCTGCAGTGGAGGTCTGAAGGTGTGGTCAAGGAGGCCTCAGTACTGGGCTGTGTCACACGTCATAGCTGCAGTGCAGGGCTGTAGGTGTGGGCAAGGGGCTGCAGGGAGGCTGTGGGGGGTGTAGGAGGGACACTTTATTGCAGGGCTAAGAGTATTATTGGCGGGTTTCTGTACGGGGCTGTTAGTATATGTGTGGCCGTGGGTGCTGAGGAAATGGTCCGGGCCCTCAGTCCCGAGACTGGTTAAGGGTCTGGTGGGGGGAATAAGGCTGAGAATGTGGAGAGCCAGGGCTACATGCATTCAGCTGTGGGAATGTGGACGAGTGTGGCCAGGGGCTTCCATGGAAGACTGAAGGTGTAGACACTGGGGAAGTGTGCTTCACTGTAGGGCATAGGTGTGAGGATTACAGGACCAAGGCCATACCTGCAGTTGCCAACATGCCTCTGGGGGTTGATAACTCTACAACCCCTACCCAGTCTAGTCTCCTAATCACCTGCTCCTCTTAAACTCTACAGACTGGGAGGTTACAGCCCCAAATGGATGGCAAGGGACCAGGAAGCCACGGTTGTGCCCCAGGCACTGGGAGTGCTGCTGTGCCCCACCCGTGGGCCCGTTCCCTAGCCCAGCCCAGCCCAGCAACACTGGGAGCTTCTCCCTGAGCCGCCCTGACACCATCCTGCCCTTAGCAACATTCTCCAAGCAGTACTACCCTCCCTTAGCAACTGTCTCCAGGCTTCACAAACTGTGGCCAGGCCAGCCCCAAACTCCCGCTCCCCTCGTGTTTTTGTTTAACAGCAAATAGTAACAAGGTCCTGGCTGGCCTAGCTGCACCCCTGCCTAGGGCATGCACCCCTGCCCATGATCTGGCTCCCTTCTCAGCATGGACTGGGTCTTTCTGGGTCCTCATGACTCTGACAGAGACCCTGTCCTTACTAAATACCTGCCCAACCAGCAGCCTGGCCTGGCCCTGACCTAGCTTGGCATGGAACTCCCAGGGAGGGGTGCCTGCTCTGCCACCCTCACTTCTACCCAAGCAGGCCTTGTGCCAGGGTCAGACAAAGCCATGGCCCCAGCTGTTGCCCTCACAGTCTTTCTGGACAGTGCCACTCTGTTCCCAGCCTGGTGTGGGCATCATGATTTCACCTTCTGAACTCCACTCTAAGCCAGGGCTGGCATTAAGTGACAGGACCTTTCAGGGCTTCTCCTTGGGACTCTGAGGCCCAGGGACACACTGAGTGCTGGCCCCTCTCCCCAGGCAACTCCGTCTCCAACTCTGAGGGTATGTGGCATAAGTGCCCCATAACTCAGACCTTGGTAGGTTTTGAGGTAGAAGCAGTGATGTTCTCTGCCTTGGGGAGAGGAGGGGCAGCTTGGCTGGGAGGTGACTGAGGTGGGTGCCCCCCCCCCCCCCCCACAGGGTAGCATGGCAGCAAGCACAGATGTGGCTGGGCTGGAGGAAAGCTTCCGCAAGTTTGCCATCCATGGTGACCCCAAGGCCAGTGGGCAAGAGATGAATGGCAAGAACTGGGCCAAGCTGTGCAAGGACTGCAAGGTGGCTGATGGAAAGGCCGTGACAGGGACCGATGTCGACATCGTCTTCTCCAAAGTCAAGTGAGCCCCAGGCAGTCCTTGCTTCTAATGTTCCCAGAAGGTGGGGAACTGGGAGGCTGGAACCAGGGAAGACGTGGAAAAGGGGGAAAACTCATGGTGTCCACATACCTTGCAGAGGAAAGTCTGCTCGGGTTATCAACTATGAGGAGTTCAAGAAGGCTCTAGAAGAGCTGGCAATGAAGCGATTCAAGGGGAAGAGTAAGGAGGAAGCCTTCGATGCCATCTGCCAGCTGGTGGCAGGCAAGGAACCAGCCAATGTGGGCGTCACCGTAAGTACCCTGCTGGTCTCGGGTGGCCACTGAGGGGGATATGGGGAATCACAGCTGGGGGTGGCGGTCTGGGCTTCCCAATGCCAGGTGCCCTTGGAGGAACAATTCTGTCCAAACAGAAAGCAAAGACAGGAGGTGCTGTGGAACGGCTGACTGACACCAGCAAGTACACAGGCTCCCACAAGGAGCGCTTCGACGAGAGCGGCAAGGGCAAGGGCATTGCTGGGCGTCAGGACATCCTGGATGACAGTGGCTATGTGAGTGCCTACAAGAACGCAGGCACCTATGATGCAAAGGTGAAGAAGTAAGGCCTGGGAAGGCCCACAGCATGGCTGCCCCCAGCAGAGGCTCAGGCCTGGGCCTAAAGGGCACATGGAGCGAGAGAGCCCTGTCCCTTCCCTGCTGGACCTCCACCCAGTGCTTCCTGCCCAGCCCCAAGGGCCAGCCCACCAGACCTCTGACCCAGACTGCTCTGCATCCCCTTCCCCTTCCCTCCCTGACTTCTGGCTGTCTGGGGAGGGTCTGTGCCTGTAGCCTCACTGCCCCAACCTAGCCCTGGGCATGGCTAACCCCTTGTGTGCTTGCCTCATATTTAAGCTGCTGCTCTGGCCAAGTGCCTAATTCTTACCCAGACCTCAATAAAGATACCTTTTGTACCAATATAACCTGGTCAGGTATATGGTAATGGGGATAATGACATTCACACCCTGCTGACCTCTCAGTGTTACCACCCGCTTGCAGATCACACTCTGCTGATCTTTCCACTGGCAGCCCTGCCCAGAAGACACATACCAGGTCCCTTCCATTAGCACAAAGCCAAATTACCTGAGGATGCTTCTTAGGGAAATATAAGGCCTTTCACCTCAGCCCTGACCCACAATCCTAACATCATATCTTGCTCTCCTGCAATTAGGGCTCAGTCTTGGCCTCTCTAGGAGAGAGGAATGAGCAGACTAGGCCTGGCCAAGGTGCTGGGCAGGGTCCAGTGCCAGGCCTCAAGTCTAAGCCTGCTGACAGGTCCTCAACTTGAT